CAAAACTACTCCTATTATATTAATTATCACTAAACACATAATCAGCTAGTGGAGAATATCCTCACGACAGCGAACTGACATTGGAAAGGTATTCGCAAGGACAATATGTGAACCGATTGCCGGGCGTACAATAAATTGAGGAGAACATGGTCAACCGTTCGTACATGTTTATGTCCTTGAAAATGAATGGGTCCGGCAAAGCCTTTGGAAACCACTTAGAGGTCACAAGATTCCAAATTACCCAGAAACGTCAGACCAAATAGCAACAGCGTATAATGCCCCAAATCTCGAGAAGACGGAGTTTACACTTTTGCCAGAGTAAAATCCTCAAGAAGGGGCAAGTCATCAAGGAACGACCGCCTTCACAACAACTCTACGAAGACAAAACAAATCCACGTTCCCTATTATAAATAGGCATCGTAACAGACTAGCTGTACTTCACGCACGCACACGAGCTCAACCCAAGTCGACTGTCAGAGTCAGTAAATGAAACACTGAGGGAGCAGAAAGTAGGAATATGGAAAATAAATGGTCCACTCACATCCGGAGTAAACTGAATGGGAGGTGGCGATTCATCTCCACTCTGATTCCGCTTAGACACCGGAAAGCAGTTGTTTGCACGTGCCCACTCACACCACTTCTCGTTTGCCGGGTAGACCTCACCCTTGATGGGAAATCCGGCAAGAAATTGCCTGCACACCTCTTCGAAACTGTCCCTATACTCTGCGGATAAGTAACCGAATGAGTTATTGGCACTGTCAAAATTTGGATTGGCGAGGAGAAAGAGGACCGCCTTGATGACGTCGAGGAAACTGCAACAACTGAAGGCGAAAAGGAGATAAAGCGTTTTTCCCAGCATTAAATAGACAAAGTACCTGTTCCAGTCATCCATTATGCTGAGGCAAATGCAGCCCCCATTTGGGTAATATTTGAATGAAAAATTGGTGTGAGGAAGCGGATCTCGGGCGGAGTACGCGGATAGTTGTCGGAAGCGATTATCTTCAAAGAGGATCAGATTAAACAAATTACACATTTTTAAATCTATGCACACCGGACGAAAAGATTTACAACTTAAAATGGCTGAGTTATCATCAGGCTCAGAGTGACCAATAGGAACAAAAACGTCGACATATTAATGTGTACTGTGTTGCTGCTGCCTTCAGAATCCAAATTAAGATCTATATACGCAATATGGGCCAAAATTTAGAACCAGTCACGCGATTTTGAGGAAGATAGAGTCTGATAGCGACCTTCTTTGGTTTCCTCGAGTCGAGAGGTTAGTTCAGGAGATTTCAAAACAATGGTTTGTCAGGCCAGCATGAATATCTAGATAGTGCTATGTTAACTGAACAAGTATTAGGAATGAAATCTCCAGACCTACCTCTAGAGTGAACATCGCATGCGCGTAAGAACCCTCGCTTGGAGTGAGCAGGATTTCAAGCTTGCCTCCACAGACCGAGGAGATGCTCGCTTGCTCATTGGTTGAGTCTCCGATATTGAGGTAGAGGCTTCGCAGGTCTTTGAGGTAGCCTCGTCCTCCCCTGCAGGTCATCAGTTGTGGCGTTTAGATTTTAGGCCTTCAAATGAGAGAGCAGTCTTTATCAGGGAGTTTTAATATCTACAGTTCGGCTGAGAATTTGTGCAACATGCCGAAGTTTTTAAAATATTGACAAGCACTTGCAAACCGGCATTAACGCATGTACGAAAATTAAGAAGTAATAGTGAGCAATCTAAGGCAACCTTAGGAAATAATAATAAGAAGAGGACCAGGCAAATTTTATTACTAAACATAACGAACTAACGGTAACTTTAATAAACAGGGCAGAGTTTCGATACCATCCCTTGCTGCAGGCATTCGTATTAGGGAAGACTGCCAACTCCCTAATGTGGTGTAAAAATGACTCGCACTTTTACAATAATAATGTCTAAGTTCGGTAAAAAGAATTGTGCAGTGTCACAGATTAGCACATCAAATTGGAACATATTCATCTCTACTCTTGAAGACACCTTAGACAGACATAAGTAACAAGTGGTGGAATTTGCATATCTGCATGTCTCAATACCAGAATATGAGGACGGAAGATTTTTTAACCAATCGGTAGACTCAAGATATCTGTCAATAATGTGACCGAATCTAGATAAGTACACTTGGGAGTCTATAGATAACCAAAATTCCAATACGTTTTTTTCTAAAGGATTCCCCTTTTCAATAAACTCTACAACAGTGGCTTACAACACACGAACTTCATCACATGAACTTCCGTCGGCATGACTATAAAATAGAAACTGCTTTTTTCCTTAAAAGTTAACAACTCCTTGCTAAAAGTTGAATAACACAAACAAAAAATATAAACAGAATACAGCCGTGCACCAATGATATCCAAACCCCAGACCTAAATAACCTATAGCTTTAAAAAGAAACTTTCTGATTGCTGAACAATGTCAATAAACAGACTCTCTATTACAATAAATAAGCAGTTGCAGACCAAAAATGGTCCAAAATATTACACGTGGACCTCCTTATAAAACCCAGAAAAAACTAGTTGACGGTAAAGTGGCATAAAGACAACAAAACATCATTAAGTAAATTTGTTCACCAACGCTACCTTGCGGTCTGCGGCTTGGACCACGGCGCCAGGAGGAACAGCACAATACGGGTAATACAAGCGGTTGTTAGGAACGCAGCTCTATTTAAAACCCGAGAGGAAAGTCCTGAACACGTCTAATAGCAGTATTGCGACGCATAGTACAGAGTCTGAGAAAGATAGCATCCCATAAGCCTGATAGGGCGGTGTGGGCAAATACTATGTGGCCTGGACTATTGTCTGGGGACAGAGTCTATGTTACCGAGTGCAGGAAGTTGAAAAAATGTAGAGGCTCCCTATACCCAAGATCCGAGCATGTGCAATCCTCACCAACGTACCACGCAAGTCTGGCGTTTGTCCAAATCCGAGGTTTAGACTGTAGCTAGCAAAAACCAAGACCCCAGATTTAATTCCCTACTTATACTCTAGTCAAGTGGCCTTTGACTTACCATGGCCTGAAACGGTCAGGCAATCGGCTCTCTCAGAGCAGGTGGGTTATGCACTTCTGACATGTGAACCATTCAAACACCAGCCAGCGACGTAAACCTGAAAGGACACTTGACTAGCACTTCCACCATTTCCGTCTAGACTAACATGTAGGCTGGTATCCAGCAAGAGAACGATATGTTCTTCTGTTAATACATTTCCTCTCCGTGATCCAACAATTGTCACCTGCAGGGAATATGTGACTGGAAATCCCAGCGTGAACTTTTTATTTTCAAGAAATCAATAATTGCGCTTACTTGAGCTTCGTTCGCGACATGAAACAAACAAAGACGACTGAAATTGGCTGAATAAATCCGGTAAATCTTCACGAAATATTAGCTTCAAACGTTAACGTTACAGTCGATATATTGTGGATATCCATGCTATTTTGGATTCATTTTAAATTATATACACCACACATGCTCTCAACCATCTTTCGACACTTGCTACGCTGTATTTACTTTACGTTAGAGCATATTTCAGGAATTCCTGTAATACATTCTCCGCGAATCGATTTAAACCTCCGTCATTCGGGTCACGAAAATAGACCTATTGGCACTGGCCCTCACGAGAGCATTTTGTTCTAGCGCGGCGCTAGGACACTGCTATCAGGATTGAAATCCAGTGTAATAAACCGTCCCGAAGCATGGTCTTTGAATGTACCAAGGTCACTTATAGCACGGATACGGATGAGGATGATGTGAACGTCTGTTGGTGAAGATGCTGGTATTCCTTCTGATTCCCTTCACTGACACCACTTCCCCTAGTAACATATCGTCGTCTCCTTACCATCAGCACTCCTTGGCCCTCACCCGCAGTTGCCCACAGCGCACCATTTCCCACCGATATTTAAATGAGATTTCGTGACCACTCCTCACCCCAAATGGATCAATTGTACAGGCCCTTAGTAACTTTTTGTATTGTATCCTCCCCCTCCATACTGTTGTCTAACTCATTTATCGTAACATATACTTATTGTAGCTACATCATTATTCTGATTTCTCCTAAGGTGTTTGTGTGTTGTGGTGATTTACATTCCCCTTCGGCGTTACTTCAGGAGACCTGAATAGGGGATCTACTCCTTTAGGTGTGTGCCAACCTCGACATCATAGACCCGCTAGACCAACTGTTCAGATAGAACAAGAGATTTAAATTTTCGGATCCGATACTTAAGAAGACCTCGGATTCGATTCGTTCCCGAATAATTGTACGCTCTTATGCGATCTGCTTTCGATTCCAGGTCACTTTTTGCACGCAAAACGGGAGCAAACCAAAACATATGTTTGATATTAATGCATATATATGTATTATTACAGGATTCAAAAAATACTAATATGGATAGTCTTTAAGTCTGTTAATTTACTTAGTTTATCACTTTTTTATTTTCCCACTTATATAAAGGAAAATACCTAGTGCACGCGTTAACACGCCTAACGGAATTATGTAACAACCCAAGAGACTGAATGATTGTTTTAGTACACCAAGGTCGGCA